TAGCCGTGCCATTTTCATGCTGCCTCAGCAGCATTTCGTCTTCCGTAGTAGCTATGACTCATTGCTTGTGGCCTGGTACCTTTATCACGCTCGCCCCCAACCGAGTGACAGAAATGGTGATTTTTACAGCAGTGACTCATATTGTGACTTTGCTTCCCATCATTCAATGTTTTCTTATGATTTAATTTACTTTCCTGATTGACCATTTCTGTTCCGTCTTCCGCGACCGAACTTATAACTCCTTCACTGCTTCATTTCGATCAGTTGCTCACAATGCTTTCACGCTGTCCTAACCGTACAAAAATGAAAAATAAATGTCGAATTTTTGAGCCTAATCTTCGTCCATGAATTTTTGCGCTTGGTGCGCCGATTCAACTGTGAAAACTGCTTCAATCTCCAAGTGTGGAAACTGCTTTAGTCTTCCTAGCGTTCATCGCTGTTCAATTCAATCCAATCACGCGACATTTTTCAAGATTTCGTTCCATCACACGCTTCTTGTCATTGAACTTGACAGCTGCGCAGACTATCCGATGTGGCAGCCACCATTGCTGCTCTTTGTTATCAGCTGAAGAAATTTTAATGAAGTCAGTGGTGACTGATTTATAGAACTGATCATGAGTTCATGCCTAGCGGCGCCGAATCGACGAATTCGCGCATGCAAACATTCCTTAACACATTCTAAAATTGGGAATAGGAGTGATAAGGAAATGAGGGGAGGAAAAGCAAGAGAAAAATATATCCATCTTCCCAATGAGAAAGTGAGCACGCGTGTGATGGCTTCCAGGGCCCTCCGATTTCTCTTGAAACGCGATGGCCGAGTCGCAATGTATCTGCCCTTGGCGCGGATTCAGCTATAACTAAACGTATGGTTACATTTCGGCCCAACAGCCAGAACTTCGTTTTACGGCTATATACACATCTTCCCATCGCTAGCACGGTCTTGCAACAGGGTACTTCATTACCCGGTTCGAAACTGGCCTAATTACAACCTAGAATGAATGCCTTTGACCTTACGGTGATGTCAGACTTCGCGAATCGCGCGATTCGCAAAGTCTGACATCGGCCTACTACTCGTCATGAAGCACCCTAATGAGAGAATCATCGGTGTCTCAATCCAGTATAGGGGAGGGGGTATGTGGTGTTACATTATTATCGCCTTAGGTAATCCAATTTTTCACGAGGCAAGTAAGCTCTGCGCGGTGTGAAAGCGGAAGCAAAATTGTTCACGCACCCCGTGCATTTCCCCTCTCCTCTGCAGAAAGTGGAATTTCTGGAGGCGGCAGTAAGTGTTGCGCCATATGCCTTCCCCTTCACAGGATGCGACCCGACCATTGCTTTCCCTATCATAGTTCTTGCAATCGCTGTAAACAGCTTAAAATGGTCAGTTGTGGGAAAGTGCTGACTGCCACATGGGTGCAATGTGCAGGGGAGGGGGGGGACAGTCGTGGCCGTGGCGCGTGGCATGTTCGCGTACCTCAACACCCGTGAGCCAGGG